AAACAACATTAAACCATCTGCTCCCATACATACATGAGACCTCTCATGTCTTTACTTTTAGTCTTGTTGTTCTTTTGTAGATCTTGTCCTCCTTCCTCCTTATGTGTGGCTCAGGTGGTACAGCGGGTCGGTCATGATCAGAAGGTCAGTAGTTCGATTCCACCCTGTAGCCTGTGTCATGGTGGTCGTGTCCTTGGGCAACACACTTCACCACCGGCCTGGTGTGAATGAATGGACTGTTGAGGTGGTGGTCGGAGGGCAGGATGGCAGCCAGGCCTCTGCCAGTCTGCCCCGGGGCAGCTGTGGCTACAACCGGAGCGACCACCACCGGATGAATGTGTGTGGATGAACAACCGACAGTGTGAAGCGTCTTTGAGTTACTCCTCGAGTTAGAAAAGTGCTGTTTAAATCCAATCAATTATTCATTATTATTGTTCATCTGTATGCAGCAGCTGCAACATGAACATTTATATTTATATCCTGCCTTCAGTTACTTGCAGAACTTTCAACCAGTTCTCAGGTGTTACTGATAAAGGTAAAGGCTCCACAGATACAGATACTTAACTACAAGCATTCATTTGGTTTTATACCCAAAGTGGCGCCTCGACCGACTCACAGGTTGTTTCAAAGCTAAGTCCAAGAGAGCAGACGGGTCAGAAGAGCCACGCTATCACTGCTGAGGCCTCATTCAGGGGTTTTAAACGATGACAAACAATGTAGACGCTCCGAAAAAGTCCAAGACGTCCTGGTGTCAGCTCACCGTGTTGATAGCATTAAGCTAATGTAACTCCGCTGACAGCTAGCTGAGTGACAGTCGGCAACATTCAGAGCAAACGCTAACGAGGTTAGCTTGGTTAGCATCTTTTATACAAGCTAACATTAACGGTAGGTGTCGGTCTGAAGGTAGAGCGGCCAAGAAAACATCATACAGATCTATTACATCGTTCTGTGATGTGCAGGTTGGTTACGGTGATAGAAGCATCCGTTTTTACTGTCACACTGTATTTCTTCTTTATTTTACGGCACATCTGTTTTTTCCTGCACATTAACGTGGTTCTTCTACGATTTGCACGTTATATTTCCATAACTGTGACGCGTGAGCTGCTGGACACCCTGGATGATCTAAACGCTGGGTTCTCTGGTCACTTGTGGGTTCTCGGTTGTGTCGAGGAGAACTTTCTTCTTTCTTTCTTTCTTTCTTCTCAACAGAAACAATCATCGGTACCCTGGAGGTGGTTCTGGTTTCTGATCATCCACCAGAGAAAACTTGACAAAGTGCATTCTGGGTAAACGTTCCAGGCTCATGTGTGATGGTGGTTGGTGAGAACACGTTATTAAAGGATGGTAACGCCACGTATTACTGATATTTCACTACCTTTATTAGTTTCCATACTCAAGATCCATCCGAATTCTGTTTATGGAATTTCTCTGTAAGGGATTAATAAAGTATTATTATTATTATTATTATTATTATTATTATTATTATTATTATTAATAAAGAAACGTTCAGAAGCACTAACCTGGACTTTTGTTCTGGCGCTTCCAAAATGTCCCACAGGACCTGAAGGCACCGCGAGGCCGAGGCGAGGGGAGGCGACCAGGAAGCGGTCCAGATGGTGGCATGAGGGGTGAGGGGGGGGGACGGACCCGGTGTTCCTCCTCGGACCCCCTGGGAGCCTCGGAGCGACTCGTAAAGGGAAACCGGTTCCTGGAAGAAACAATGCATAATGCATCAGTCATTAGCTGCAGGCCGTCGAGCAGACGGGCAGCAGCTAATGGAGCCTCCACGTCCAGTCTGAAGGCACCTCCAGATGTTTACGTGCTTCTCAGAACTCCTCTGTTGTTGGTGGTGGTGGTGCAGAACAATATGTGTTGAAATGTTCTGTGTTGTCTCCTCGTACTTGTTCAGTTTGTCTTCATGGACATTTTATCTCTCACTGAAAAGCTTTGTATTCACCTGTCATCTCTTTGTGGTTGTTTTGTCTCTTTGTGGTTGTTTTGCATCTTTGCAGTGATGTTTTGACTTTTTGTAGCCACGCTGTGCCTCTTTGTGGCCTAGTGGAGTCCATGATGTTCGGTGTCTGATTTGAAGGTGTGTCAGACGGTTTAAGTGCTTCTCATAACTTCACGCTTGTTGTTGACGGTGAACAAATGGTGTTGAACGTTCCGGTGGATCCAGCGGCTGTGATCCTCTGCAGCTGTCCAGCAGCTACCGCCGCTGAGGGGAGTTTGTTTATTTGCGGACCGGTCGAGTCCTCTGACCCCGCCGCCCTGTTTACGCCTCCGAGCTTCCCGAAAACTCTTCAAAACACAGCGAGCGGCGTGCCAAGCGTCCCTGTGGCCGGAGCCAGCACAAACAGAGCGCCGGGAACAACCACGGTCCGTCATCTTCAGATTTCCTCACGCGGCGTAGCGCTGCTGCGTGGGCGAGCCGTGCGCTGAATAACAAACCGAAGGAGACAAAATGATGAAAGAGCTGCGAGAAAGGACGAGTGTGGTGCAACTGCATGGACAGATTGTGAAACAACAGGCCTCCACGCTGAAGCAGACACACAACGAACACAGAGCATGCAGCTGCATTGGCTGTTGTGTCGCCTCTTTGTAGCGACTCTGTGACTCTTTGTAGTGACTCTGTGACTCTTCCTGGCGTCTCTTTGTAGCCGGCTAGTGCACTTCCCACATTTCTTCATCGCAGTTTTGTGTTTCGTTGTTGCAATTTTGTATCTTTGTAGCTTTGTAGTGTCTCTTTGTAGTTATTTCCGTGGACATTTTGACCCTCTGTGGCCACTTCATGTCTTTTTGCTGTAATTTTCTGTCTCTCTGTAGCTGTTCTGTGTCTCTTTGTCGTTGTCTTGTCTGTTTGCAGTCAGTTTGTGCATCTTTGTAGCTGTTTTGTGTCTCTTTGTAGCTGTTTGTTGTAGCCACTTTGTCTCTTTGCAGTCACCTTTATCTTTGCAGCTGGTATCTTTGTAGTTGTTTATGTCCATTTAGTGTCTATTTGCAGTCATTCTGTGACTCGTTTCGTGTCTCATCCTGTTTGGAGCCCAACATGCATCTCCATGTTTCCGTCCGTCATCGCTCTGAGGATGTTTTTGTGCGTCTTCATGGTCAGTTGGTGACTCAGTTTGTTTCTATTTGTGGTCGTTTCTGTCTCTTTCTAAGTATTTCGGGTCTCTGACGGTCATTCTGTGACTGATGTTGTATCTCTTCCTGTTTGGAGCCCATTTTTATATCCATGTATTCACTGGTGAGCTCTCTGAGGATGCTCTTGTGACTCTTCCTGTTTTTTTACTTCCATGTTGTTGTGCCCGTGTGGTGATTCTGTCTCTTTGTGGTCATTCAGGTTCTGTTTATGGTCATTTTGTGACTCAGTTTGTGTCTTTTTGTGGTTGTTTGGTGCCGCTTTACATCTCTACTTTCTGTCGTCCTGTAGCATCGATTCATGGACGTTTTATGTCTCCTTGTGTATTGTTTCCTGTTTATAGTCAGTTTGCATCTCTTTGCTTTCATTTTCATGTATTTGTGTCGCTTCGTAGTCGTTTAGTGACTCATTTTGTGTGTCTTTCCCTTTTTAGCCAAACCACGCATCCTCGTACTAATGTATTGTCTCTTTTAGGATGTTTTGCGTCTCTTTGTGGCTTTTCTGCGAGTCCTTTTGTGGCCGTTTCTTTTTGTAGGACCAGAGCCCCTCCTGACCCGGTGGACCTGGACCCAGTAGGCCCGTTGGACCTGGACCCAGTAGGCCCGTGCAGTAATCCATCAATGTGACGTTTTGAACACCAGGGAGTCACATCTTACGTCACAGTTGTTTAGTTTTTCTTCGGTTCCACCCTCGCCTCACGCCCAGGATCTCCAGATAATACAACATAATGAATTAGTGGTGATGTACGCTGATTAAACCTTAAACCGGGTCTGACAACGGTCCAGCTCAGCCCAGTGAGAGCTATGAGCTGTAGGCAGCTGCTTTCTCCGTGATGTTTCGTTATAAATGCAGATAATCCCTGAAAACGCAGCAGCGACGATTTCATTAACGTGCAATTCTGTCGGTTTTAACATCAGTGCAGATTCGGAACCACAGCGGGCCCACGTGTCGGGTTTATGGGCCTCCATGAAATGAGTAGAATATCCTTTATTAGTCCCACATGGGTAGATCTGCACGTCACAGCAGCAATGTGACGGTAAGAAAAGCAAGAAAACACAATTATGAGTTAAAGAGGCGACGTATCCAGACTAAGAACACAAACTTAAGAATATGTGGATGAATGAACGTCTGATTCTCTCAGCTCCAAGTTCATCTGTGTTTTACACAACACCAGAGTTTCAGTCTGGTTTCTTTGGAGGCATGTTTGAGCCGGTGCACCATTAGCGTTAGCGAAGCAGCAACGGCTGGTTGGCCAGAGCTGAGAAGAGGAGCAGAACATTCCAGAAAACTTTCCTCCAGGTGAAAAAGAGACTTTCAAAGGATTACAGTTTGAAAATTACACGACTAAAGACAGCAGTTTGCAGCTTAGATGAAAAAAGTGAGGATGAGCCGATGCTAAAAGACGCTAAAATGCTCCACAGAGCTGAGACCAGCTGTTGGGGGCGGGCCAGCGCTGTGCCGGTTCTGACCGTAAACCGTCCCTGTAGAACCTCTTTCAGGCCGTTTCAGTACGTACTCAAGAGTGGCGCAGAAAAGCTACTGGGCCGGTTTCGACGCTGATTCATTGAAGTCATAGAAGCACATTTGTTCTGCTCTGTAGCATCGCCACCAACAACACAGGAGTCACCGTACAGGTCACATGACAAACGCTCCACTTCATTTACTGACCTGGAGCTTCTCCTTGTTTCAGGGCTGCTCAGAAGCTCCCACCTCAGGCAGTCCTGTTCTCTTCCTGACAGAGGTTGTACAGGGCTAGCAGCCAGATCACCATGAAACGCTGCAGAGGAAAACAGCTGATGGTGACTTCACCTGAGATCGTATCACAGTAATTATAGACGCTGTGAACAGAAGTCGAACAGCAGGTTTATATCAGAAAGGTCAAAAAGCAGGAAAAAGTAAAAACCTCTGACTTTTTATTTCTATATCTCTACTGGGCTGCTTTATGTCCATTTATATTCATTTGTGCCTTTATTTAGTAGTTTTGCACCTTTTTGTTGTTATTCTTTGCACTTGAAATGCATTTTATGTCTGACGTTGAATGTTTTGTGTCTCTTTGTAATTAAAACTACAGAGTCTAAGATCAGAAACTTCTCTCCAGATTAATGAGGTTCACGGAAAAAATGAAATTAAGTGTAAATCGCTGACTTTTTATTTGTATACGGTCCCTTAAACTCCACATGTGCGTCTCTTTAAAGTCATTTTGCGTCTCTGCAGATATTTTTTTGTCTCTTTGTGGTCAATTTGCTTTTCATTTAAGTCTTGTTGTTTCTCAGTGTAGTTGTGTCTCGTTGTAGTCCTGAGTGTGGTTTCAGTCCCTTCATCCCTCCTCCTGACACAATGGACCGACATGACATCCACTCCACTCGTCCTTTCGGTGCTACTGACCAGCCGGCCTCCTCAGCTTCGCCTCCTGCTCGGCTGCCAGCAGGAGCAGCTTCCTCCGCGGCCATGTAGGGACGAGGCTGAGGAACCAGGAAGTTGGTCGGAGTGTATTCCTGTCGGGGAGGCTCCACGTGGACGAGGACAACGAGGCCGCCGACCTCCAGCGTTTCCTCCTCCTCCTCACAGACCCGACAACAGCCTCATCTGCAGCCGTCGATAAGTCACAAAGACGACGACAGCAGATGAACCGAGGAGGATGTGCACGATGAGATGAAGCTCTCCTTCGTGTTTGAGAGATTCTGCAGCTATTGATCCCAGCCGATCGATGCCACCTCCGGAGACTTCATCACAAATCGTCCTGCGATCAGTAACAGCAGAACGTCGTCGTCTCAACGGGAACACGAAGCAGAACAATGGTGTAAATAAGTCATCTTCTTTATCGGTTCAGTGGCTTCATTTGACAACCACATTGTGTTTTTGTTGGTAAGTTTGTCTGACAACGTAAAAACATTTTGGTCTGGACAGAAATATGAAGGATCAACCTACTGATTCTGGATTATTCAATCCAGTATTCAGCTCTCCTCAGATTATCAGTCTCGTGTTTTATTTTCCACTAGTTAGTGATAAAATATGGTAAAGCTTTAAGAAGTGGCCTCAGTGTCCCGCCAACGGTACGATCTGAGTCCAGTCATGAGTAATAACACATGAATTAATCAGGAAAATGTTTGATTTAAATAGTAATTCAGTAAGATTTAAACCTGTTGTGTAAATTTACCACATCAGTCTTATGAAAAGCATCTGTAGTTTCAATGTGCTGTATAACTGATGACTTGAACGGGTATCAACCCCGAAAAGAACACATCGGTCGACCCCCAGGTACAGAAGACTTCTGAGTTCTCTCTCCGTCCTCCACAGAGCTGCAGGACTTTATATGAAATGAGCCACAGTGAGGGATCTATCCACACATCTCCACAGGGCGTCTCTCTGCATTAACTATTGGACTGAAGGTGGACTGCTCCAGCAGAACCCAGCGCTCCCCTCCCCTCCCCTCGCTGTCATCACCTTGAGCTCCGTAACACCCAGCAGCGCCTCCACCCAGAGCAGCTATGGGACGATCAGGAAGTCTAATTCTAGCCCGTTTCCTGCATGACATTCCTGACCTGAGCTGCCTTCCTGCCAGACGCTCTCCGGCTCCCGACGTATAGAACGGCTGCATTCCTTCACATACGGGCCGAGGAAGCGCAGAAGCATTTAAAACCCACGGCGCAAAACGACCAAACTGTCCCTTTAAGCCTCTTGGTGTGTGGAAAACCCTCCCCGATGGGTCCGAGTCGAGCCGGTTTTTGAAGCATTTCCTTTATTGGTACCTTCCATTAAGTGCATAGGATGAGAGTTCACATGGACAACATTCAGAAAAGTGACAGACTGAGAGGTGGAAATACACAGAACAGAACAGAACAGAACAGAACAGAACAGCAGGCAGAACGGACCACGTTCATGGCAGCAGCAGCAGCAGCACTACGCTCCCTCCCAGTTCTCCCAGTCAGGCTGGAGAACACGCCTTCATGTGTGTGAATATATATCAGATTATACATGTGCAGTTACAGCCGTCGAGCACAAGCAGGGCTGCAGCTGATCACAGGCTCTGCTGCTGTAGAAAAGATATTCAGTTCACCGTCACACAAACCAGAAAATATTCACATTTATAAGCCGGAATCAGAGAATTTCTCTTTAAAAAAATGCTCAAATTCATCTCCAGCAATCATGAAAATCAATTAATTGGTTTAATACTCGACAATTAATTGATTAACAGTGTGAGTGAGCAGCTCAGGGAACAAAATCCAGAGATTTAAGGGTTTTTTTTTCTGAACTGTCATCCCGTCACATTTCAACGTGTGGAACTTCAAGGCCCATCATATTAACCTTACTAACGCAAAAATAAGAAAACATTGATAATCTTCTGGCTGCTGCTCTTCTTTTCCCAAATAAGCGTTAACATTTAGAGAGACGTTGCCTTCTCTACATGTTTTAGTGAACTTCTTCCACCATCAGACGTAAACACAACCAGAACAGTAACAGTAATTGATTTTCTTTCTTCATAGCCGGTAACAGATCCACCAGCCAACAGCCTGAGGATGTTGTTCTGTATCTGCACTAACGTCCACCCGGACCAAACACAGGCAGACCCTGTACGCTCCCATTCAATCACCAGCTTCTACGTCTTAATAATTCATCGTGTTTCCGCTCATCTCCCGTCCTAGATTAGTTTATTAGCCTCCTCCTTCAATACTCATTAGTGTGTCTCTATAAATGTGTTTCACTTCCAGTTTTTAACCGATATACAAAAATACATTCTAGATATGTGTGTAAATTATGTCAAAAGTGTTCATAGAAGGTTCCCCATCGCTACTGAAAGTGAGCGACGAAGGCGACAGCAGCTGAAAAAACAAAGTAAAAGATTTGAACAAAAACAGGTAAATAAAAGGAAAAACCAACAGCGCTGATTGGATTCAGGTTAAAACAGAAATAAATCCCCGTGAGTGTGTTTGTCTGGTTCTGTCGCTCTGAGATGAAGAACCTGAACCCTGACTCCAGCCCGTCTACCTCCAGGACGCCTTCACGCCTCTAACAATCACAGAATGCTCTCCCTCAGGTTGCTGCCGGTCGGCTGCTGACTCTCCGTCCGGGTCCCGTTCCACGAGTGAAAGTCCAGAAGAGCCTGGTTGAGCTTCTCCATCCAGTCCAGCCTCTCCTGCTTGGTGTCGGCCGAAAACCAGCACCTGAGACCAGAACGGCGTCAGTTAGAGAAGAGAACCATCCACCTTTAACACACAGCTGTGAGCGTACTATATATACGCTTGTAAAGACCCGGAGATCAGATTTATATGTTTTAGTGATTCCATCAGAGGAAGTTCAGAGTTTTAGGAGTCACTGGAAACTCAAGACTGTCTTCAGAAGTGGACGTAGACTTTAGCTCTTCTCGCCTGTACCTGTGCTTGACCCGACAGAACCACACAGTGGGTGTGTTCCCTCAGCGACACCACTCTACTGTTTAATCTGCCAGAAAACAGACGGAGGGCGATTCCACCTTAAATCACCAGATCTGACAAACACAGCCGGTGACGTCACGAGAGGCGTCGCCCTCCGACTGTCACCGGTCAAAGTGTGACGTCAGCAGCCGGCTGCAGCCAGAAGAGCAACTCGCCTCCTCCCGACTGTAAATACGAGTGACGGCTGTGTTTAAACAAGTCGTCACGATGAGGGAGAACACTGGCAACGCACAGACAATAACAGAAGCTTGATCACAGCAGAGGAATGAGGAGGAGAGCGTCATCAAAAGTCCAAGTCTGAGCAGTTGTTGTTCATCTTATAAATTGAGTTTTTTCCTGCTCTGACAAACCAAAACATCAGTGCTGTGAAAAAAGCTCTGAGAACGACCCACTGAATCCAAACCAAGCTCTCCATTAGAACGTGTTTTTGTCGTTCGCTCCCAAACGTCTGACCTTATGGGGAGTTTTGGGTCCAACTCACTTGGCCAGAGCGTCCCGGCTGTCGTCCTGCTGCGTGACGCTGCTCACCAGCTCGAAGGTGAAAGGCCGAGCGCACGAATCCCTCTTGACCGGACGGACGCAGCGGCTGGGCGAGCCGGACAGGGAGACGCTGCCTTCTGCCTGCTGGGGGTTGAAAATGTGAAAACATGTCATCAGAACGGAGACTCCAGGTGGTGTGTGCTGCTCACTTACCCTAAAAAAGGTAATCTGATTTCCCACAAATAGCCACTACATTGGCAGCGATTTGTTAGATTTGTGGGAAGGTAAAAATATTACACTTTAAAACTTCAATATGAAAATGAAAACTGTGGTGATTGTTGTTTGTTTATTTACTTACACGCCTGGTAATTGGTGCGAATCAGTTGAAAATCAGTAAATAAACAAACTACAACGACCATTTTCAGATTACATTTTAAAAGTAAATCAAGGCTACGCCGGACCAACCAAATTTAGCCCAAAAAAATAACGTCTAGATCACGCTGGGTGTGTGGTGGGCTGGATTATCACCGGCTTAGAGGTTAGAAATCACATTAGCGTGGAGCCAGATTTCTTGATGACGAGGTCAAGGCTGCTACAGAGGTGCGGTGTGAGGACCAGACTGAAGACTGTGGGTCAAAGGTTCAGACAGTCTGAAGGTAAAGTGGGTGTTCTGAGGTGAATGTGGACGATACTGACAAGTGATAGTCCAATGATGATGGTCTGCTGCTGCCCTCTGAGCTAAAGTTACTCATATTGTTAATATCATATGAAACAGATTGGAGTCGTTGAGCCTCTTCTGCCTGCAGTCTGAACAACATAAATCTGCGTCTGCATGCCCCGTATACGTAGACATCGATCTACTGGAACCGAGTCCTGCTGACAGGCTGGAAAATAACATCACAGCAACAACACCCGACTTGTTCAGGAAGTCCAATCAGGGCTCCAGTTCTGTCCAAACCTTGGTTTCCTTGTCGTTGGGGTGGTTCCAGTAGAACATGCTGCATCCCTCCAGGACGAAATAGCGGCGATGCCAAACCCCGTATCCACTGATCAGCTCGAACATCGTCTGGAAGCCACAAACACAAAGAGGAGGGGATTGACTACACAGACGAAAGCAGCTGTTTAGCCCTGGAAGCAGCATCTTCAGGGTCAGTTCACCACCTTCTACACTCTTGTCTTGGTCAGTATCAGCCGTACAGAAACACACGGTGCATCTAGTTTTGTTCAGAACAGTCTATTCTGATCTTCCATCATTTGATGTGACCACAGTTGCTGTTTCTTTATATTTGTCGTTTCATCATGGACTCGTGTAAGAAAACGCTGGCAGGACAGATTTCTTTTTCAAACTGGACAAGACCGGATAAAACTCCATTAATAGGGAATTCTTGCTCCAGATATCGGTCAGAAAATAATACATACAAAGACTTACGTACAGCACAAAAAAGTAAATAAATAAAATACTGTGACGTCAGACCAACAGTGTTTTCATTTTTGTGGTACAACTTGTTATTCATGCTTCATGAGTTATGAAAGTTCACCAAAAATAACCTTTTTTCCATTTCTGTGTCCCAGTATTTCATATTAAAGTATTCTAATGTTTAGTTTGTATTACTGTGACCTGCAGCTACCTGTGGTTCAGGAAACACCACTAGTCCATTTCTGAATTATCTTTTGTTAATGTGAACTCAAACTTTCATTACTTTTCCTTTTTCTCATATTAGAGATTCTTTAACACGTTACAGATTCATAACAGTGAAAAAAAAATCTGTTTTTTATCTTTAACAGTTCCTGAAATGTTGTTGTTGTTTCATCTGCCTCAGATTGTAACGTGAGAAAAAACCTGCTGGAAGTGGGTCGACGGGAAAGTTTTAAAAAACATCGTCTCACAAAGTATTCGATATATCAAAGTAAAACTGTACAAATATTCATGTTTTATTCTGTTGAGTTTTAAGTCAAATCATGATAGTCGAGCAGAAAATGAAATGATTGGAGATGGAATGACTGAAAACAGCCTTTATTTGTCAAATCGAACCAAACGTTTAGCTGATTCCAGTCCAGAAAGACGCTGAATGATAAATCTTTTTAAGAACCTGCTGTGTACAGACAGAGAGCAGCGTCACTGACCAGGAAGCCTTGGTGCTGGACGTCTGAGTGGCTGCTGCTGTCCAGCTTCAGGTAGATGTTGCCCTCTAGAGGAGAGAGGAAAGGCACCTGCAGTCAGGGAAGAAGGAGGAGAGGCACCGTGAGACAGGTTTGACGGGGAAAAGACTGCGAGAAGATAGATTTCTAACTTCCAACAGAAGATAAAGATTAGATACTGTTCTGCTCTAACAGCTTAAATTAGGAGTAACATAACAGAGACTTAGAGGTGAAACTGAGTGTAAACGCTGCTATTTTCATCCCAGGGATCATGCACGAACACAGCAGAGAAACAGCATGTCTGATAACAGTCCTGTATTATTGGGTTTGATTTCTTTAGATCAGATGAGACAGAGGAAATTAACTCACGATGGACAAACAAACACTGAGGCGGCGGTTAATTTGAGAAACGATGAGTTAGAGCAGAGATCTCCAGCTCCAGTCCTGGTGAGCTACTGTCCTGCAGGTTCTAGACGTTACCGCAACACACCTGACTCACATTAATGGATGATCAACAGACTCGTGTAGAACTTGACAACAAGCTGCTGGAGATCCTTTAATGTGAGTCAGGTGTGTTGCGGTAACGTCTAGAACCTGCAGGACAGCAGCTCACCAGGACCGGAGCTGGAGATCCCTGGATGAGAGTTTTTGCAGAGAAGAAAGACACAGAAAGGAGGCGGTGAAGGGCTGAAAACCTTTTCCTGAAACTCATCTCCCAGCAGCCTCCTGATTTTGCCTTCAAGCTTCATCTGAGTGGAGGAGGCGAGACAAAGAGAAGGGAGGGAGACAGACGGGTTAGATCACCGGTGAGCCCAGCCGTGTGCAGGAACGTCTAAACAAAGAGGGTTTAAAGTGGCGTCTGTGCCGCAAAACCCAGCAGCTGTGCAACAAAAGGAACTTACTGCACTCATAAAAGCACACTCAGGTGAACTCAGGTCGTTTTAAAACATCCTACACTCAGAGAAAAGCTGATGCAGTTCGACCGACCTTGTCCAGAGGGAACTTGCTGTGTCCCAGCGAGGCCAGCGTGATCTTATGGGAGCCGACCAGACAGAAGTTACTGGAGCGCCGAGCGTTGAGGGAAGGATGAGCAGCGGCTGCAGGATGAACGGAAAGAAAACGGATCAACATGAAAGGACACGACCATTATGACCAGTTTAAACACAACTAAACCTCCCCAGAGTGGAGTACAGCAGGAGGAATCGAAGCTGAAATAAAATAAAACTCACATGTCAGAGCGTTACTGGATCTCTGTTGGAAACAAAACAAAGTGTTTACAGACGGGAAGCGAGAAAAACACACATCAGGAGAAGGTTTGTGGATTAAAATCAAGCTGGATACTCACAGTTATAGTATTCAGAAGCTTTCTTGGTGTGACCTGAAGGTGTGAAAATACCATAAATCAATTAATAACATTCATATTAATAATACCTTTATTTATAGAGCACATTATTGGAAAGAGAGTTTACAAAACGGAGGATATTCAGCAAGAAAACATCCGTCAGACAGGCAGACAAAAGACCAGAGAAGCAGAACGTCAGCACAAAATGCAAAATACAGAATTTTAACGTAAATAAATCGATAGTACAAAGAACGATTCATACAAAAAACACAATAAAAGCACCAAGAATAAAAGGAAATATAATAAAACTGTAAAAACAAGAGTAAAATAAAACAAGAGAATTACACATTTAAAGTTAATTTAGTCCCTGAGGTCATAATTAAAGTGTCGTTTATTGTTTTTTAAATATTCTTCATTTAAATTAAACAGTTTATTATTAATTTTTTCTACACCAAATCCAGTTTTTATCTTCTTGTAGAAACTGCTGATTTAATGACTTGTGTTTTATTTTGCTGCCTTGTGAAGCACTTCGACCCCGTTCAGGACTTTCATACGTAGAAGGTCCAAGAAAGAATCTGTGCAAAACATCTGCTGGTATTCATTACAGACTTTTATATTATGTTAAATTAATCTTCTGATGAGTTGACGTATTTTTGGTTTGACAAACGTCCCTCTTTCTGTATTTAAAAAAAAAAAAAAATCTTCAAAAATAAAAAAACAATAACCTAAACCAGATGAACTGGGGGGTCCAAAAGACCCCTAAAGTCCTGAACAGGGCTGAGAAGTGTTCCGTAAATAACAATAAATACAATTTGTGATAAACATCGCCTGCTCACCCGGGACTTGGTGGCGGTCCGGTCCACGCTGCAGCTGCTGCTCGACGTGTGCGACTAGATGGGACGAAAACAAGCCCGTAAAAAAACGACAAGTTCTGATAACAGAGTAAAAAAAATGAGACGATTTTGTACAACTGAGAAAACAAACAGAGTAAGAAAAAGGCAAGAAGCCAAACACAGGAGGCCGGTCAGCTGGCTTGGATACCATCATCTGGATACAAACCAAAGTCTAAACTAAACCACGTTACACAATCAAATGAGACAGGAACACAGAGGTTACGAATAGGAACGCTGAGCTCGTCAAATCAAGACAAGGTGAAGTCTTGAACCCTGAGAACATCAAACCATCATCAAGCAAGATGGCCAAGAGTCAACCAGGAACCAGCAGGAAGCAGCTCTGGATGGACCAGAAGCTGCTGGAACACAGCTGTCAGTGTCCACAGGGTCTGACATCAACATGAGCTGAGAGGCTGATGGAGAAGGAAGTTCTTCCTCTAGAAGCA